GGGTTGTGTTACATAGTTATTTAATTTTTTTCTAATCTAAAATTCTTTTTTTTTAAAAAAAAAAAAAGAAAGAGAAAATCTATATATTTATATGGTAATTGGTTGAATAAAATATATACAGCGTATATATACATATATATAATAAAAAAAAGATTTATTTTATGAATAGGATTGATATTAAAAAATAATGTTGACACGCAAAATTACCGCAATAAATTCAAAAAATTATTTATTGAGCTTTTTAAAGAAGTAATTTTAAATACTACTCACAAACGAGTTATTAAACAAGAAAATATAAACTGCGCCGTTTGTTATTTCCAAATTAATCAGGGCCTATTCCCACCCCCTCAAGTTTATACGGAACAATTATAAGTGATTGCTTAGATGATTGCAGTAATCATCTGCATTTTACAAATTTAGCCCATGTTAAAATAAATCATAGCGAATTTCTAAATAAGTCATTTTGTAAAAAAAAATATTTGTCACACGTAATTTACCATTTGTAAGGGTCTAGATATTTAATATTAAACGAAAACATTCGTGATAAGGTTGGAGTGATTGTTTAAAAGGGTGATTAAAGGGAATTGTGACTGATTGAGAAAGAAAAACAATCATCATCGCAAAAAAATCAACAAACGACAAAGGCGCGGGCCTTTAAAAAGATAAATTGACGTAATTATGTAAACTTTAAAAAATTTTTTTTTGGATAATGAAAATTTGAACAATCAGAATTTAAACTTATATTATTCGATTTTATTCATTTTGTTTTTTAAATTTAAATAAAATTAAAAATTTGGCGTTTTTTTTTTATTATTTATTATACGATGGAGATGTCGTTGTTTATTATATTACGTAAAATGATGATTTTGATTGATTGATTGATTGATTAATTGATTGATTATTGACCATTGGTTTATTAATTTGGCAATTATGATTAAACTATTCACCCGCACATAGTTTTAAAGAGAAGGGGAGAAGGAGAGAAATTTTATTGGCCATTAATCAGCGTATATATTTTTTTGGATCCGAGCTACAAAACAAAGAAAAATCAAAACTGGATAAGAATACCGAATAAGACAATCATTATATGAATAAATATTGTAATACTAAATATAATAAAATCTCTTCAGCTAAAAGAAATTTGTAATACGTGTACAAAATTTCGTGATTTTTTAGACCTAATAATAAATTTGTGCTTTTGCTTTACAAACTCGCTTTTCTTATTTAGCTATGAAAAATTCTACTAATATTTTTTGTAATTACGGTCGAACCTCTTTATAACAAGCTGAGGCGCGGTTAAATCCGTGTCATAAATATAGAATTTTTGACATCAATATAAAATTCGTTATAACGCGACTAGTAATTTTTTGTTATAACGAGGTTTTACTGGGGGGAGTAGAAAGAAAGTCGGTACCGTACCGAAAGAAAATTAAAGGAGGAAACAGGTGTCGCTAATGTCGTTGATAAGACAGTTGTTGATGTTACCGTTAACATGGGAGTTGATGTTGTTGA